CCAGCCCAGCACAGCCCAGCCCCCGGCCCACCAATTTCAAAACATGGTTCCAAAAAAAAAACTTTCGGTCAAAACGTTTCGGTCAAAACTTTCGGTCAAAACGTTTCGGTCAAAACTTTCGGTCAAAACTTTGGCACCCAAACCCTTAACAATTTCTATAAACCCTAAACCCTAAACCCTGAACCCTAAACCCTAAACCCTATACTATCCCGAGAAAGGCCCCAAACCCCAAAACCAAACAGCGACCCAAACCCTGGAACCCCTCGAGCCGAGGATGCCGCCGCTTTCTGCGCTGCGGCCTGGCAGACTTCGGGAGCTGGGACTACGGGGACCCTTGAGGATGTAGACCCTCTCAATAAGGTCCCTTTTAAGAGAGCCTAAAGTAGGGTTCAGAAGGGGTGCCCTTCAAGGGGTACCCCTAATAATGCTACCTAGACTTCGAGATGTCTGGGCTTCGGAGGCTAGGGCTCTTTAGGGTTTTTAGGGCTTTAGGGTTTAGGGCTTTAGGGTTTTAGGGCTTTAGGGTTTAGGGTTTAGGGCTTTAGGGGTTTAGGATTTAGGGGCTGAGGGCGTGGGGTTTTAGAGTTGAGAGCTTGGGGCTTCGGGTTTGGGGCTTCGCAGCTGCGAATTCTGGTATTTTGGTGCGGGGTACAAGTCTCCACTCGTCCTGTCAAAAGTAATCCCCTAAGCCCTAAACCCCAAAACCCGAAACCCGAAACCCATGCCTTGTGTCATTTTTGGATGCTGACGAGGACTATCGGCAGCGAGCCATGATGCTGAACTCCGACGCCGTGGCGAGAACATGGGAGCCATCGGATGCATCGTAAATCCCATGTGGGGTTTAGGGTTTAGGGTTTAGGGTTTCTGATCCGATCCCTCTCCCTCCGCAAACATGCTCTCGTGAGCCTTTGCCTCAGGTGCTGCCTGGGCTTGCTGCTGTTGCACGGCACCTTAGCTGCTGGAGCACACCGGCAGTTCTCGTAATTCTGGAACTCGTCACATCGATGTCTATACAGGAACCCGCAACGGTTTGCAGCTTCGGTTCCTACTCTGAGGTAGTGTGACGGTGTGGCATTGTGTGGTAGTCCGGTAGTGCGGTAGTCTGGCCATAATCTGGTAATGTAGTCTGGTTGCAAAGTGGTAGTGGTCGCGGTAGTGGAAGTGGAGCTTGAAAACTTACTGGTGGCAGTGGTTGTGGTGGTGCTGGTCGTACTTAGTAGTCGTGGTCGTCGCCGCCGTAGTCGCAGTGGTGGTATTAATTGAAGTCGTCGTCGTGGTGGTGGAAGTAGTAGTAGGATTAATAGGAGGAGTAGCCGTTGCAGTGGTAGGAGTGGTAGTAGTAGGAGTGGTGGCAGTAGTAGTCGTCGTCGTGGTAGTAGTAGGAGTAGCAGTCGTAGTACTCGTCGAGTATTAGTAGTACGAGTAGTAGTCGTCGCCGTACTTGTAGTAGTAGTGGCAGTAGAACTCGAAGTCGCAGTCGTAGTCGTAGTAGTCGTAGTAGTCGTAGTAGTCGTAGTCGTAGCGATCGCGAGTGTGGTCGTGGTCGGGGTCGCGGCAGCAATAGCGGTAGTGGTATGGGTAATTAGTGGTAGTGGTAGTAGTAGTAGTAGTAGTAGTAGTAGTAGTAGTAGTAGTAGTAGCACTGGTAGCTGTTGTGGTAGCAGAAGTAGCTTCAAGTTCTGCTTCCCACGAAAACATTCCTGGGTGCCGCGCTTGCCATCATCGTGGACATGTCCCTTGGCAGACAGTGACTTTGGGCTTCGACCCATCTGAGTGGAACTTACTCGTAGTTGTGCTCCGGCTCTGCATCACCATCTAGCACAAGTCCAATTACGAACACGAACGAGGCACTCATGGTTTTTGCAGAAGTGGTCCCCATACTTGTGGTGATGGAGTAGTAGTTGTGGTTATCGCAGCAGCAGCAATAGCAGCAGTAGCAGAGAACAGGTGTGAAAGGGCAGCAGTCGTCATAGTAGAAGCATCGGTAGTACTCCTGTCCTTTACTGTTGATCCCACACAGCGGGGATCGGACCCGTACCACACTTCTCAAAAACGAATTGCTTGCTTCTTCGCTATTGCAGTGCAGGGTTTGGGACTTGGGGCCTGGTACGTAGGCTTATGGGTTTAGGGTTATGGGTTTAGGGTTTAGGGTTTAGGGTTTAGGGTAATCTTCACACTGCTAATCATCATCAGAATGATAATAGCAATCATAGTGGCAGTAATGAAGGGCTTCAAGGGGGAAGGGTTGAGGTTCAAGCTTCCGGATGTACCAGAAATGCTCTTCAGCTTCATCATCACGGCTGCTAGGACAGGGCGAGAAGACACCGACAGAAGTGCGACAGAAACCCTAGCTAAGCCCTAAACCCTAAACTCAACTTAGCGCCCTAGACCCGAAGATACTAAGCCTCAGCCCCAAAACGAAATCTCCTGAGGCCTAGAACCGTAAAACCCTGAACTCCAACTCCGACCACACCAAGCCCTGAGTCCCCCCCCAAGGGGGTTCCTTATGATGGTTGTAGTATAATGGGCCCCAAAACCCTATTCTAATGATTAAGGCCCCCATAATCCCAAACCCTGAACTCGAAACCCTAAAACCTACAACCGGACACCCCTAAACGTCCCCAAACCCGTTGCTCCGACTGGGCAGGTGGCATGCCGGGGATCCCGTAGCCAGCCATGGGCCTTCTTGGTTTTAGAGTTTGGGGTTTAGGTTTGGGGTTTGAGGTGGCTTAAGGGATTTAGGGTAGAGGTACGAAGTAAGTTGGGGGGTCTTTAGGAACTAGAAGAGAGCTTTGGCCTATAAATTCTCAAAGGGGGGGGGCCCAAGGCCCTCAAACCCTCAACCCTACATCCTGAACCCCGAAACTCTCAAATTTTGTAACCGAAGCTCCTAAACCCTGTGCCCCAAACTGACTTACCCTCTACCCTGAACTCAGACTACACCCGAAACGCCCAAAACCTAAACCCTGCACCCTAACCTGCTATACAACCTAAACCTGCAGCATCTTTGCACTGGCTTCTGCACTTCTGCCTCTTGGTCAATGACTCGAACACGGTGAGTTTGACACTCAATAGCAGGGCACATGAAGGGTTTAAGGTTCCGTGCGTTGCAATACATGGGTTGAAGAGGGTCTTCAAAGGGGCTTCGGGCCGTTCAGGGTTTACAGATCTAGCTTAAGCTGGATCTTGATTGCTCCTAGGGCGGAGGCACAGTGTGAGCAGCCGGTCGGCTCTCAAAAGGCTTGCGGCTGTCGAGTTTGGTGGGGTTCTCTTTGAACACCACCAATTTGATTGTTGTTATTGTTATCACTAATCCTGATAGGACTCTGGTTATTAGTATTACTACTAATACCCATATGACTATCAGTATTATGATTATTATTATTGAATCAGCAGTAGTATTTTACTGCATGGTTTAGGGTTTAGGGTCGAGACACGCCTAGGAGCGCACACTCGACGCATTTCGAGCGCACACTCGAAGCAAATCGGAGCGCCCACTCGACGCCTTCCCCCTATTTTACCGTCACCATCACCATCATCGGCTTCTTCATCGATCTGGCTATCAACATCGACTTCATCTCTGCCGGTCGCCTTTGGGCTTGAGGTTCTCGGGGTTCGGCTTGCTCCTCTAAAGGGGTCTAGGGTTTAGGGTTCCCCTAAACCCTAACCCCTAGACGCATACGATTGTGGAGGTACTACTACATTCAGGCTGTAAGATCATGGAGGACGACATCAGGAGATTCGCAATAGCATAGATGACACTGCCGAAAGACAACTCTCACGACAGAAAGTCTCTCAATTCCCGGTTACCTCGCTGATGTGTCGACAGGCTTCAGGCTCTAGCTTTAGGGTTTTGGGGTTTAGGGTTTAGGGCCTAGGGTTTAGGGTTTTAGGGTTTAGGGTTTAGGGGTTTTGGGTTTAGGGCATGGGGTTTAGGGTTTAGGGTTTAGGGCATGGGGTTTAGGGTTTAGGGTAAATCATACCGGCGTTGGCTTCGGGCAGGCTGTCTTGATCCCTGCAGGGACGCATGTGCGGTTTCCTGAAACAGTGGGAGTATCTGATTCGAGGGTCCTGGTAAAATGAGGATCCTACTACTTACATGTAGGGTCTTTGTGAATGTCGCACTCCCGGTGGGACGAAGGCAGTGAGTTGTAAAAGCAGTTCTCAACTGGGTGTCTGGCACGCCCATCATGCTCATGGGGTTCACCATACCTTCCAGAGAATCTGCGGCAATGTCTAGAAACTGCACATTGGGGGGGTTAGGCCTCAAGATTACTAGCATCATCATTAAGGATTCTCGACGAGTCAGGCTTGCGCCCGTCGTAGCAACAACGCATGGTGGAGTTCATGAGGAACAGACCGATGGCTTAGTGAGTGGGCGAGGGATGTTCGTAAAGTCAGGGCATTAGATGTAAGACAAACATGGCTAAATACTAGCTCCTAAACTTTGTCTGATTCCGCGACTCTAGCATCTCCACCCCGATCTCCTAAACCTGCAACCTGGGACCCTGCAGCCTGAACCCCTAACACCCTCGAACCCCAACGAAATCCGTAAAAAGCCTTAAACCCTGAACCCCCAGCCTCTGTTTCCTCAAATCTATGTCTGACAACCTCCCCGTTCCGGGCGTGCCTAGGCCGCCGAAAAGCAAACCCCCGGCCGCGATCGCGGCAGCCTGCAGGGTAGTGGCACTGTGAACATGACATGTTACCTCAAGCCTTAGACCCACACGCTAAGCCCAACACCCTAAACCCTGTAGTCTTACCGATGACAGTGTTTATGTTGATAATGACGACGACGACGACGACGACGGTGGTGGTCGTCGTCCTGGTGGTGGTGGTGGTAGGGCTGGTACAGGTGGTAAAGGTGGTAAAGGCGGTGATGGTTATGCTGACGATGATGATGATGATGATGACGATAAGGTGGTGGCGCTGGTGGTGGTGGCGGTGGTGGTGATTATGGTGTGATGGTGATGGGGTGATGGTGGGATGGTGGGATGGTGATGGTGATGGACATGGTGACGTGATGGTGCTGGTGCTGGTGCTGAGGAGGAGGAAGGCGACGAGGAGGAGAAGGACGACGAGGAGGAGGGACTGTATCATGATGACTTGCCTGGTCTCACATCTATATTATATTATTGACTGCTGTTGGCTATTGACGACGATCAGGAGAGGGCTTGCGATGGATATGATGACATGATGCTGATGATGATGGTGATGATGATGATGATGATGATGACGATGGTGATGATGACGGTGATGATAATGAGGATGATTATGATGATGATGATGATGACGATAATGATGACGATGATGATGACGCTGATGATGATGATGCTGACGATGATGATGATGACGATGATGATGATGATGATGCTGATGATGATGATGCTGCTGATGGTGATGATGAGGATGATGATGGGGATGATGATGATGATGATGATGATGATGATGGTGCTGATGATGATGATGATGATGATGACGATGATGGTGATGATGATGTGATGGTGATGTCGATGCCACCGAAGGGGGTCAGGATGCAGACGATCAAGCAGGAGGATGGTGAGGAGAATCAGTATCGCTATTGCTCTTGATGGAAAGTAGTGCTACTGGTACACTACTCGAATATCTTGTCGATGCCGTACTTCAGGATGGCCCGCCTGGGCCTGCTGCTCCTGCTGGGCATAAGCTTGTTGTAGCTGCTGCTGCTGCAGCTGCTGCGCTGCCCTGGGCATTTCTGCGCCAGTCTCGGGGCTTAGCATTGGACTTGCAGAGGGCATTGAATCAGCCTGTGTGGCGCAAAGATGCACTCACATTGGCATCCGAGATTTGGGGAGTAGAGGCCGTAGAGTTTTAGATTAGTCTGAGCGTCCTCCACCTAGCGCCCCAAGACTGTTTGAGTTGCATGGCCCAGAACCGAAATCCTAAAACTTGAACCGAGATCAAGGGCAACTGCGTTGAAAGACGTTGAGCCCATGGGCCAGCCCCTCCAACAAAGCTTGAGTGCTTTCGTGATCTATATCTACGTGGGGATTCCCAAATTCGGAGTCCTAATTCTCATGAGGGTCCCCGGTCCGCTGAAACTCCCATTTGCTAGTTTGCTACGGTTCAGGCCAGCTGCGGATGTAGATGGGAGGCTGTCGGAGGAGGGTTAGGATTACACCGACTACAGCATATCAACAGCTATACATCACCCTTCAAGACAGGCACGGTACTGCATGAGCGAAGGAACAGTCACTGAGCACCGAACAGCTGCTGTTGTTGCAGCTGCGCCTGCTGCTGTGGCGCCTCAATCGGTGCAAGGCCCGCAAACACCCAACAAGCCCACAAAAACTCTACTTCGATGACCTAAGTCCTACTGGTCCTACTATAGCATAGTATACCGTAATCTCATACGATTCAGTATAACGTACTATTATATAATATAGTAGTATATTATATATAGAACATGATATATAGTAGATGATATATAACACAGAGCACATAATGTAAAGCATACAATAGAGGATATAGAACATATAAAATACAATATGTAGTAAAAAGTATAACGAAGCATATTATGTTTGATAATAAAAATATAACAAGATATGGCATAACAATATTTCAGATCTTATACGTCATACAATATAGTATATAAGATATAACGAAAGTATGTATTCAACATAATATTCTACAATATAATATAATATACTAAAATTTGTAATCGAGCATGAAACATTATATAGCATAATGTACAGTATGCTACAAAACTAAACATATAACATCATGCAATATAACATGATATAATCTAAGCTACTGTCTAATACAATAAGATACTCAATAAGACTATATATTTTCTTACATTATATACTACTAATGTAACATAAAATAAGATACTATGTCATGGTGTGATATATTGTACAGTATGAGATATAGTACGAAATATATAAACCAGAATATATAATGTTATTATGTAGCTAATCTGTAACGTGATATAAAATATAATGTGATGCCATGTTGTCTATAATACAATAAATATACTACAAGATATATATATATATATGGTAGCCCC